CAAGAATGAAAAATCTGAACACGCGTGTCTGTTGAGCGCAATAAAATGAGATGCAGTAAACTTAGAGTTAAAAATTTTATTTAAGATAGAAGAATTTAGCCGAAGGCAATGTGCATTTCGTATAGTAAAAAATTTGTATCACATGGGATCTCTCCTAGTTCCCTGTCAGTTTCTCGATAGTTCTAGGAGAGTTTCAGAAGCTGACGAGTTTCTACAAACTACGAGATGATCAGCCAATCAGATCTTAGATTTTTTCTTTAGCCGGATAGCTTTTAATTTGAGAAAATTATTACAACTATTTTTTCTAATGGTAGAGTCTGGACACAGTATCTGGGTTAGACTTAATTACGCAGAAAAATGAATTAATTACATGGCACAGTAGTTAGCAAATTAATCATGATTTTTTATTCGAAATCTTATTGGAAGTAGTGAACTAGTATAGTGATCAATTTATATTACTTAACGTATGTAGAGTGAAAAGAAGCTCGATATAGGAAGAATAATGCTTTATTAATATATGTTTGAAATACAACTGCTACTCTTAGTCTGTTTATTTATTAAATCATTAAAATTAAAAATAAATTTGCTGTAGCTCTCCGATCACAAACTTATCACGAATTATTAACAATCACTGGACAAATCCACATTACACCAATTTACTAATGATAAAATCTTGTGTAATATTAAATCAAAACTTTGCCCATATAACCACTCGTTTTAAAATGAATTTTATTTAAATAATGTTATTAAAGAACCATTTTTTAACTTTCATTTTTACAATATTTTTAATTTTTTTTTTAATATTGTTATCAAAAATTAAAGGTTATGATATAATAAACTTTATGGTATTATTTCGTTCTTTTACTCAAGATCCTTCTGAATTAGAAGTTTTATAAACTTATTTTTCATTGGAATAGATAAATAAACGTATTCTTTTTAATAAAGTTAAGTATAAAAAAACAGTTTATTCAAAAGTTTTAATGTTAAGTCAAATTTTTAATTTTATTTAATTAAAAAAGATAATTGTGAAAATTATTTTAATTGTTATTGACTCTTTTTTTTATTATTATTATAATAACATTTAACTCTTTGATTATTCCATGCAGACGATAACCTTTCTAAAACATTATTAATTTCTTCTTCTGTTGGCATTGTATTTTTAAGCAATAGAGCATTCAATATTTCTTTTCTTCGTCTGTTGTAACTGTTCTTTGACATTTAGGAGCAGGATTTTTATTATTTGGAGTGTTTGATTGTTCATTTAAATTTTTATTGCTTGATTGAGAAACCTTAGAGACCTTACGAGATGCAGAGTGGGGTGTAGTTTCATTATTTTCTTCTGGAGCTTTTCTTTTTTGTAAAGATTTTGCAACTGATCTTATGTCAGTTTTAATTATTTCCAAATGACATCTTCTCTTTGTATTTATTCTTTCAGTTTTAATAACCTCTTGATGATATACTTCCTTTATCCTTTTTAGTCCTTCTTTATAAGCATTATTTAATTTTTCTAATCCTTCTAAGGTTAATTGTGAAGGTGGATTTTTTTTGAAAAGCTCGTATTCCGTATGATTATCTATTTAAAATACTTCAACTAAATCTTCTATCAATTTCCATAAAGAATCAATTCGATTATTTACTTTATGATCTTTTCTATTATAATTATATAGATCTAAAAACTCATTTAATAATGTATCGATTCTTTCCCTTTCTTCTTAGGTATTCTGAATTTGAAGATTTAAATTTTCTTGATCAATAATACTCCCAATTATATTTTGTTTAATATATTTGACTCCATGCATCTCTAGAGCTTCGTCAAATGCTAGATAATGACCTTTTCTTGCCAAATTAATAGAAGCACAATATTGGAGTTTTATTTCTAAATTGGGATATTTCTTAAGAATTGATAAGAAGTGGGCTACAGAGGTTATATAGTTGTTTTTTCCTGCAGCTGGAAAAAGAGGAGTGAAAGCTGTTAGACTGTCACGTTGCAATTCATAATTTCCAATGCGTATTCTGATAAGATGGCTTTTCCACATGACAAAATATTTATAATAAAAATACCAAGCTTTAATACATAAATTTCCATCCATTGGTAAAGTTAAAATTTCTTCAATACCAATATTATTCTTTTTTGCATAAATGTGAATTACTACTCCAGTAGTGACCTATATTAATTCCAATACTCTTCTTGTTGACCTATAATCAACAATAGCTTGAAGCTTATCTAAAAATCGAACACCAACAGCCGTAGCTAAATGAAAGATCCCATAACTCGAAAAGATAATAAGTATAACATTAAGCATATCTCTCGAGGTATGCCACTGACCTAATATAGGTCTTATTTTTTCCCATTGAGTACGTACTTTAATTAACCTCCTAAAGATAGCTTCATCTGCACAAATATCTAGATACTTATTATTATTTAATAAAAACTCTTCTTTATACATTTGTATAACACGAAAAATTTCACTATCATTATTTGGAGAGCCAGTAGGAGTTAAAATAACTACATTAGGGTGTGGAATTAAACAACCAAAATCACATTTTTTAATAATTTCCTTTTCAATTGTCTCAACATCTAAATTTTTATTATAACTTATATTTCCGCTTTCATTTGTTTGAAATTCTAGTAATTTCTCAAAAATATCACCTATCTTATTTTGCATCACATGCATTCCCAGTGTCATCCCAAAAAGAAAAGTATCAGCATTCAATTCTCTAATTTCTTCAGATGTTTCATTAATAGGTATAGGTAACGTTAATTGGAATACCATTCTTAGAGTTACATGTAAAGTTCCACGCGTTACATCATAGATATTACCAAAACTAAAACTAATTTCTTTAAAGTCTATGTTATCGATAACAGCCAAATTAAATACATTGTTTCCTTTTATTAATCATTTTGTAGGATCAATATTTTGCATTCTTGCCTTTTCCAACCGTCTCTCATGACGATTTGTATGTCTAATTATTGAACATTTTGTTAATAATGAATGGAACGAAGAAATTAATTTTAGTCTTCTACATAAGGATACTAATATAGTGAGAAGCCAAAGATTAAAATAAGGAAAAGTGAATCCTACCAATATTGAAAGTAAAAAGGAAATGGATTTATTCATTTTTTGAGAATCAGATTGTTTTAAAAGTTTGTTTTGTAATATTTTTTTTCGATTAGATTGATTTATTTTTTTTGACTCTAATTGTAAAAATATTTTTTCAAAAAATACTTTTAAAAATTTAGGAAACGCATAAATATATTCGGTAATACTAGTTGGTGATCGAAGATAACTTTGATTAGTTTTTAAGTGTTCATATGATTACCATAATTTATTGCTGGTTATTTCTCCAAACTTCTCAAAATCTTTTTCTTCAAATTCTTTTTCATCAGGATAAATTAAAATGCGATTCAAATGTGTTAATATCTGAATCATAAAAAAAGTAGGAAGTTTTAATAGTATTAGGAAATAATGAAATGTATTAGAAGATGTAGAAGATGTGGTAATTGATTGATTTTTTATATTTATTTCATTTGTATTTAATTTTTCTGAATAATTTTTATTTAAAAATTGAAAATAAAGAAGTAAAAAGGTTTCAAGAATCTTTTTTTAATATTCTTCATCCTTATTATTTTTAACATAAAATAACTAACGTGCAATTATTTCTAAATTTTTTTTAACATCTTGATCATAACATTTTTGATCAAGACAAGTTACCGATGAAAATCCTTTATCAGGTTTTACATGAAAATGTCTACCTTCCAATTCGTAACATTCAGAACAAATGTAACGTGAACTTTTAATATCTTCGAAGGCTGGTTCACAAATTAAATTACAATCTCTAAGTGCGGGACATGTAAATTGTCCATTACACGCAATCTGTATGTTTTTTCCAAATAATTTTTTAGAATGCTTTGAGCAACCATCACCTCGACTAAAAAAATAAAAAAGTTTTTCACAAAAGAGACACCTTCGCTTATGAAGAATACTATCTGTTGTAAATAATGTTCATTTAATTTTTGAATCATATAATTTATTCTGATCATGATTAAAATGATAACTGCAGACTCCAAGTTTTTCCAAAGATTCACCTACTTCCTCAATTTTTTTATTATCTATTTACCACGTTCCAACTAGTTACCACAATATTCGAAAACTTTCTGTATTTTTACACTTTTGAATTTTTCCCTCAATTTTATCAATTAATATACACGAAGTTAAATTTATTGTCTTTTTTTGCTCAATAATAATATCACTTTCTTCATTATTTTTACTCACTTTATTTTCACTTTCAAATTCACTAAAATTACTATCACTATCAGAATCGTATCTTATATCGACTTCATTAAATTCAAAAGTTTTTGACTTAAAAACTGTTTTGTCCTTATTATTTTCATTAATATTAAACCAGTCTTTAATAACTAGTTGCATTTCTAAAGTATTTATATCCAACTCCATGACATTATTTAACATTAACTTAAAAATTACATTTGTAATTACTAAACGGACCGTTAACTTTAGCTTCGAACGAAGAAATTTTTCTTATTAATATGCTTAAGGGGAAATATCGTAAATATATTTGAGAATAAAAAAAGTTATTTTTATTTAGCGTGTTTTGTTTCACTATATCTAGTTAAATAAATGATTTTCAATTTATTTTGATAAAATTCATAGTAAAATTATAGTAATGCACAATGTTAATCATTAACAAAAAAAATTTGATCTGTATAACATTAGATTTGTCCAGTGATTGTTAATATTTTCTGTTATTTTCAATAATGCCTTCCTAGACGATCTCTCATAAGATTGTTTAACTATAGCATCAAAATTTTCTAACCACTTCCTTTCATCAGTTATTTTCCACCTACTTGCATTCTCGATAAACACAACAAGTGATTTTAACTCTCCTTTCAACTTATCTATTAACTCTGATAATGTCATTTCCTTTCCAAACTTGATAGTTCCAATGATTTGATACAATCCGCTGTAGTCCTGAATAATTACTTAACGTGAATCAGAGTGAAGTTGCAACGGAGTTGCAAGGCCGAAATCAATAAGATAAAAATGGCCATTTCTCTGTATAACGTTTTGTATAGCCACATCTCTATGTGTGTAACCATAAGCATGTATCTTCATCAAGCACGATAATAATCCAGAATTATTTAAAAAATTGTGTAATCATCTATATTATCGTTATTGAAAATCCATGATTCTAGGGTTGCCCGCAAAATCAGTTAGTAAAGCTAGGAATCTCCTATTGTATAACCTTTGAAGAGAATCTTGGGAACACAAGAAAGATCATTCAGTATATACAATGCTGATATTTCACAGTAAACTTGATAGAATTCAATGACTTTGCGAATTTCAATCTTCAGATAAAAAAATGATCGATATAGTAAGTTTATTATACACAATATGAGACATTCTCAGGAATTAATTTACCTTCAAAACGGCATCCTTTATTCTATAATCACGTACTTGTGCTAAAAAAATTATACAATTTCTTTCAGTTCCAAGGTGAGATATAATCTGTACATGGATGTAATTTTCAGAGTTTATTAATCTGATATAGATACTCTCTTTGATGAAAGAAGCCAAGAGACTTTCGGAAGAAATTGATGACTTATTCCTATACATATAGGTTTCATCGTTATTTTGAGATTCTTTTTTTTTACCAGAAGTTTTCATCGATAGGTCTTTATGATAGCGAGAAATTATGTCAGCGATAATTGAGGCTGTTCTTTTATTCCATTCATAATCAATACTTTCCTCAAAGTTGAATTTTAGGTTATTAAAATCATCTGAGATGAGTTTAATTTTGACAAATTGCCAAAGTTTCCCATCTGTTACACATTATAGAAAGTATTTATTAGAGGTTTATCTGCCAAAAAGTATGCTCTAGCATATTTTATAAGTTGACCTTTTCCTTCAGTTAATTTTGAATTATCCCTTATATCATTTTTGATCTTCCAACCCAAACCCTTTGATAAATCAGGTGGTTTTGCTGTCAGTTCACTGTAGAATTCGTCAAGGCCAATTATGATATCAGGGTAAACTTGATCTTGCTTTCGGTCGCCAGTATCTCTAAATACATATAAATTATTTGGCTCTAAGATACCTACATATTCATTGATTTTATTTACAACTTTTACACAAAACGGTTGGGTTTTCTTAGATTTTGTTCAGGAGGAAGTTCACGTATATCCCCAAATGCATTTTCGCTAATTATTCTTGTCTTTATTATATTGATCTCGATCTCAATTTTCCAACGTTTGATAGTTTTTTGATTACGCAAAAGTCTGTACAAAGAGGCAGAATTTTGCATATTAGAAAACCTCAGATAGAAGTTCTCATATTTCAAAAATTTAATTTCCTCAAGTTCTGAATAAAATGAAAATAGTGATGCTCACGTTAAAAAATAACGGCAAAAAAGTATGTTCACTCGAATTGACCAAAATTATTATGACTCACTTACCAGCAACTGGTTGCTCTTTGATAACGCGAATGTGTTTTTAGGCGGGTTTGATGATAAGAAGTAGGAAAGAAAAGCACAAGAATAAGTATTCAGTATTATTAGCAAATATATAAAAATGCAAGAAAAAATGAAGCTCGCTTATTTCCTTTAATCTTACTAATCAGTTTTAAGATTCTTTTAGCTGTTCCAAGAGGTATTTTGATACTTAAAAGGTCTTCTCGTGTTAATTCAAGGAAAGTGCTACCCTTTAAAACCTTTTGATTATACATTTTATCGATATCTTCAAAAATCCCTTAACCCTATCTCAATTCCATCCATTAATTTCTTCAACCGTCAGGAGACTAGCCGTAGGAGCACTCGTAGAAGTACTTGTACTTGCAACGTTGTCAAACATAGTTATTTGCAAATGTGATAACAGTTGTACAGTTCAGAAAAAGAAAAAATTTACTAAAAGAGTAATACAAATAGAGGATATATTTATAAGAAATTGATTGTCGCACAGATTGATCTGACTCAGTTATGCAATCACAGATACTACAAGTTATGCTTTACATTACTTCATATAAAAAAAGTGCTAAACTTTAAAATCGTAACTCACGTCACAGACTTAGAATTTTGACATTTTACATATCAGGTAATAGGCGAGAAAAATATTCACAGTACTTTATTAATACATGCAAAAATAAATACCAGGAAACAGGGACCATTGTTAAGTCCAGAACGATTTTACTATAAATAAACTTTATTGAGATTTTGCATAATGGCAAAAACCAATCAGCATCGACTCAACAATCAAGCGAGTGGACAAAACAAACATTTTGTGTAACCTAGCTGAACAGTATAGAGTCTTTTGCTACGCTCTAGACTAATAAGTGCAAGAGTACATAATAAAGCTTCTATGCTACAATTGTGAACTTAAATTTATTGCTTGAAGTGTTACAGGTAAGACAATATTCCAACTTATCCTAGAAATATAACTTCACTAATTCAGGATCATAAGGGAGTTGATTTCCATTTTCGCAGTACCATGAGCCATTTAATCTATAATTTCCAAATTTTCTATCACAAATAGGGCATAGTAAGCTCCACAGCTGATGTGATGCAAAATTATAATTATCAATCCCTCTAAAACTATTTCAGAATTTCAGATATGTGAAATGCTTTAAGACAGACTTAATAATTAATTCTGGATTGGGTTTGGTTTCAAAAGTGATGGACTTGAAATCAGAGGCTTGAGGTTTCTCTGATATACTTATCACAGCTTCTGATAATTGCTATGATTCATTTCCAATTTCTTTTTTATATCTTTTGTATAAGTTGGAACGAATCTTATCCATCAAAATGCTTGGTAATCCACTTAATTTGGCATGCCAATCCAGATATTCAGAAGTTAATACTTTATCAGATTTGGTCATATTGTCTTTTTATATGATTGCAAATCAATTTAAATTATAGTAAGTATAGTCGACATAAATTAGTCCTGTAAAAAAATATCACAATAAAGCATGAGCAAATATAGTATTGTAGAATAATGAGACTATGCAATTATCTCAATTTTACGCTGTTCATATTTAATAAAGTAAGATCTGGCTTTATACCTACCTTCTATTTCTTTATCATTATAACCTAATTTGCATAATGGGCAGATGGTCTCTCTTGAGACCCACATAATATCTCATCAGTAATTCAATAATAATCAAAATTTTCACTACTATATTTATATAGATTAGGATATTGATCTAATATTTTATTGCAGAAATAAGCTCGGTCATAAGTTGGATTAGTTCTAGAAATTAGTGAATGAGATGTGGTAGAAACGTTTACCTTAAATTTCGAAGATGCATCACCATTAGTAGTTTTTGAAGGTATATGACTCTGATCATTTCTCGAAGAAATAGTTTTTTGAGGTTACTTGATCTATAACATTTTGAATTTGTTTATTAGTTAATTTTAAAATCTCATTTGCACTGCAATTGACACACTTAATTTTATCAATCCCTACACTATTCTCTTCAAACAATTTGCGAATTTTTTTAGCTCTAAGAGTTTTAATTTGCAAGACAACAGGCGTAATACCAGCCAAATGTTCTAACATTTCCTTATATATTTGAGTTCTTAAAGTTTTATCAGTAACTCCTGTCTTATGACGAATTTCAACAACCTTATTTTTAAAATTATCTAAATAATGAATCTAGGACAAAATTTCTTCATGCCCAACTTGTGTTGCATTTTGAAACAAATGGATTAGGTTTTGTATTATAATTTAGCCATAAGATACTTCACAAGAGGATGAATACTGCTCACTAAATTTAGAAAGTGAAGCAATAATACTACCGCTCTGTAAATCTTGTATTAAATCAAGTTCTATATTCTGATTTTTAGTAAGCTTGATCTCATCAGAATCATCAAAATCTTGAATAACTTTTTGCTGATTTCTTGAAGTTTTCTCAATTTTTTCAACTTCTCTGAAACCATCTGATCATTTTCTGAGGAAACAATTTTTGTACTACTTTTAATTTTATCATTTTCTGAGAAAACAGTTGGATTATTTCTCACAGAAGGTAATACCTTAAGGAAGGCTGATTCACGTAAAAGTTTCTTCTTCTTATTGCGTCATCTTATTCCATCACTAATACTTTTCTTATCTGCTTTATCCAAAAATTTATCTATTTTTTTTTTCTCTAATGATTTGCCATTAAGGCGCTTCGCAGAGTTGGCAGATACTGTTATCACCTCTGGTATTGCACTATTTGCTTCATTGAGCTTGACAACTGATATGGATATCTCTGGTATCTCTTCTGGTATCGGTTCTTTGAGTAATGAAGTACTCATTTCTTTATTATAATGCGCTACCATAGGTAACTGATTTGCAACAAAATTGAAGTTAGATGAATTGTTATTAGAAATATTATCATTTAACATCTGCCTCTGTTTCACTTTCGTGATATATCTCTAAGCTCAGTATTCTCTTTAGTATTATTTTTCTTTAACTCTTCGATTCTGGCCTTGAGTTTAGCAATTTCAGCATCACGTCTCTCATTATATTCCCTATTCGCTCTTGGAACCTCGACACTCCTGTGCTTAAGTTTAGCTATTTCAGCATTAGATACTGAGAGCTTGATTCTAAGACCAGAATTCTCAGTCTCAAGTTCAGTGATACACTATTTCGATAATTCAAGCTTAGATGATATGATCTATTTATATAACTAATACACTGTATATAAGCATTCAAAATAAAAAAATATGTGTTTTTTGACCAGGATGTTCCAGCTGAAATTTGCTAAGAAAATTTTTTATTAATACATGCAAAAAATAAATACAAATATTGGAATATTACTCGTGATATAATGACAATTTTTCTATGCTATGACTGCAGACTAATATACACAATCACTTTTTATTCTAATCTGTCTTTTCTGTAAGATTACTTAATAACCTATACTTTTTTATTACCCTCTCTTCACTTCGTGAATCTGAATCCAGCTTTTGTACCTTCTCCAACAATCATGCAATATGCCTGAGAACTTTCCTAATCATATTTTTCACATTCTCGTCCTTATATACAATAACCACTGGCTCTAATAGTTTGAATCTTAGCCTGTCTTAATCATCGAGTGAACATTTCATAAAATATCACTTTTCCGCATCTGTAACAATTCTGAATATCTTACCCACAAACACACTATTTTTCTTTATCTTGCTCGCCTTACTTTTACGGTTTGATAAAGTGGACTCGAGCTGAACAGCATTCTAAGCAATACCTTATAAAAACCTTCATCTTTTACTTCTGTCACGCTAACTATTTTTGCAGTTCAGAGTAGGTCTATTGCAAAATCGACTGGTCTGTGTCTATTAGGTCCTGTGATATTTTTTTCTGATTGGAACTCAAACTTGCCTTCATATAGATTTACCCTGATAACAAGATAGGAGTAGATATATTGTGATTTTGATGCTTTATTTTCACTGATTGTAATAGATTTAAGATGAGCCTCCAGTTCAGCTATAAGATATTTAAGTATTGCCTAGAAAGAACTGTCTTTCAGCTCTTTATGCTCGCAAGTAAAAGATAAGAATACCAATAATAAAGGATCATCTGATTCACTGAGTCTGTAAAGCTAATACACTTTTAGGAATGATCAATCTGAGAAGGCTTTTGAAGGTGTTTCTATGAACATGGTAAATTTAAGATTATTCTTTGATACAAATATGTAGAGCATTTTATGAAGGTCTTGATCATTACAAGAGAAGTATTTTCTATTATCATTTAACACGTTGAGTTCTACATTATCATTTTCAAGTGCGAGTGATTGATACATCTTATGTATATAATCTTTGAAACCTTTGAGAGTCACATGTTCGATATTTGCAGTCCACTTATTTTGCTTCCATTTTAGGTGAATGATGACGTGGAAGTCTACAAATGTAATTATCAGTTAAAAAAATTCTCACAAAGTCTTTCTTTCAACTATTTTATACATACCATATGTGGACTTGTTAAATAATGCCTGTAATGAGGTGACTTGCACAAGCAATTTCTGCTCTCAGCTCGAAGTAGTGATAGACTCTAATAGAGAGACTAGGACGTGAATATGTTCTTTGGGAGGTGAGTCAGAAAAATATTTTGAAATCTTTCTTATTGCTAACAGCTCATCACTGTTCTCGAGTGAGAGATTGCTTAAGGGATCGATATGATCGTTAGAGATTGTCACTTTTCATAATTTAATATCTTTTGGCATCAACATTAACAAAAGTTTGCAGTTGCTCAGCCTTAATAACTTTTTAAGGTGATCAACAAACTGATCCTTATCAATATTAATAGGAAAAGCATTCGTAGTTTTGTTTTCTTTGACAAGACAAAGCAAAGTGATAAATATATTTTCAGCTTTTATAGTATTTTTTGTGAAATGTTATTAGCTCAAAATGCAATATGTGAGGATAAGAGTTAAATTTGCGAAAAAATACTGAAGCAGACTATATGTGAGAAATTATTCTATTTCACAAGCCTGCCGTATAATCGGCCACATTGTATTATAGGTGCAATGATCGCTTAATCACTGCATCTCCCTAACCGTTCACACTTGTCACCTAAAATAACATTACATTTTTTATATATGCTAGATTAGTTCAGATAAAAATGCTAAATTTATAGTCTCAATATCATTTCACATAACCCATTTTTCATATACGTTTGATAAAATAATAATATTTTATAAAAAATATTGTCAAAATTTACGGCTTACAATATATAAAATTAGCTGAGAGGCGCTATGCACAAATATATTACTATTACATAATGTTTTAAATAAATACGTAAATATTAATTCTATCATTAGGGGGTTGTTTAAAAAAATATTTAGAAATCAACTCATATAGAAGCATTCTTATTTTATTTTGATATTTCCCAAGAGAATAATCTTCAATTTAGTTTTCAATTGATGTATCTCTTCTGGTATCATTGATTTTCCAGAGTAAAAAGTCAGCAGAAGGAATCTTTTTAAATAAAGATGACCATCTTTTTCTAATAATAATCCTTAATTGATCAACTGTTTCGTCAGTAGAGATTTTAAGCGTAGTAATATTTTCTTCTGATAAATTTGATTTTGGAGTTATCTCATAAGGTAAAAGAAGATAATTGAGGGTAATAATAATATCAGATATCTTGCTTTTCTAAAATAAAAGCCTATAATGAGAAAAACTTACTCTCATACATATACAACTTCTGGCATATACATACCTTAAAATTTTTGCAAAAAGTTAGCTGAACTTTCATATACCATTACATGCTTTATATCTTGCTGGTGTCACTGGGTTCATTTTTGTTTATCTTAACATCTAAGTTGAAAGGCTGTGGTAGCTGATTCTACACGTTGGAATTTCCGATCTTAGGATTTTCTCTAAGTCCTATAGGTATCCGTTATACTTAAATCAACTTAGCAATTTATTACGTCTTAGAATTTAAGATATATTTAATCGAACTCATAATAATGAACTCAATAGCAAGTTAGTGTAGAGTATTACAACAATCCTAGATGAAGGACAACGTTGAAGGGAAAAGTAGTTTGTATAGATTTAAATTGATTCCTTTATTTATAACTTGAAACTCGCAGAAGAGTTAATAAACTTACAACTGAGTTAATTTACAACTTGAGCAAAAAGCTATTCTATTTATACAAAATAAATTTATTACGGCTAACTACTTGCTATGCTATAAATTAACTAAAATATAGATATATGTCCTAATAAAATATACTTAAATATAATAAAATTAATAAAAATAGTATAAACTATGAAAAATATAAAGATAATAAAAAGAAATAAAATAAATTACAGATGTTAAAGAAATTACAGGTGAAACAGAATAAACAGAATAAACAGACTGTATAGAAAATACAGAAGAAACAAGCGAATTAGGTAAATTTTACAAATCCTTCAAATTAAATAAATTAGTTTGATTTTCCAATGCAATATATCGATTAAGATCTTCCTTAATATGATCTACATAAAATTAAATCTAATGACTTTGTAAATCATTTTTTTAGAGCAAATTTTTAACGCTGATACTAGAAAAAAGATAAGAAGATAAGAATAGTAATTAGCATTGTCATATAATGCCAAAAGTTCTATAAAGGCACATGTAAATGGAATTCTCATACCTTTTCATATGTAGATCTACCTTGCAAGACATATAGTTGGCTTTACGCCTGGCGATTTTAAAATTGTGAGTCCCTTAGCCTTTTATAATATATACTTTTGACATTATTATTTACTTTTACAGTAAGTTCTGTATTGCGTGTAGACTTTATTTCACATTTTCTCACATTTGTTTGGAAAAAAAATAGAGGTAATTAGCATATATATTTCTTTTTGATTATATGAAAATTAATATGGTTGTGTGATCTGCATATTTTTATCGCATAGGAGAATATGCATTATGACTCAGCAAGTTCTTCAGTGATCACTACTCTGATCTAAGGCTTTTCACCAATTCATCCAACGCAAGTTTTTCTAACTAATCCATATCAACTTTAAATATATTCTTAATTGATAATCCTTTGAAGAATAACCATTTGAGCTATTCTTTATAGTAGCCTATGCTTTTATTGCATTCTATTAGTTTCAAATAAAAGTTCCAATAATTCACTATGTTCATGATCAGTGAAAGAAAAAAATACACATATAAAAAATCAAAAGTTAGACATCCTAAAGATCTTTGATTGAGAGAGGGACTTACCTCTTTTTCCCATACATCATTTATATAACAATTTTTTAAGTCCTGATATGAAAGATACTTTAGAATAAATGGTATTAATTCAGGCAGAAGCTGATCAAGCAAATTAGCTGTATGTATTTTTTTATATGGTTAGAATATCTTTCAATCAAAAAAATAAGGTTAATCATTATGCAGATCTGCTTATGCATTGTGGCTTAGCAAAAAATCTTCTGAGCTAGTGATCACTGTTCTAGACTATTGATCTAGCCAACCCTAGATCAGAATATCACTGTAAATTATCTTGTATACTTAGGTCTAAAAAGCTCTAAAGGAAAATTTAATTATTAACAATGTTAGGCTGTGTAAGATAATTTCTAACTACTCTAATAAGATCAGAAAACATTAAAGTTTTCACAAAATCCTCTACATGGATATCTGGATTTAGCTAATTTATAGCTTTTTTACTGATTTTATAATACCTCCTCAGATTAAGGTATTTTAAATTAAAACATAAACTAGCAATTTCTTCGATAGTTATATCAGTAATTTGACAAAAGCCAAGGTCGAGTTGTTAGAGCCTTGAGCAAGAGCGAATAATATTACAAATTGAAATTTCAGAATATTCTGTGCAATTAGAGATATTTAGATATTCTAAACTATAGTATGAATTTGCAATTGCAGATAAAACTATATCATTTTCTAATTTAAATCCTTCATGTAAAGCAGATATATTAAGATATTCCAAATTTAGGTATGATTATATTATTAGCTTTAAAACTTTACCTGTACAGTCTGTATTTCCTTCGAAATCTAAATAAATTATATTTTGAAAAGTATGCACAATGCCTTTGATTTTTTTATTTGAAAGTGAACAGTAGTGTATTATTTTAAGATGAGTTAGTTTCGAGCTATAAACTGATTTTCTTCTTCCTTCAGATACTATTTTTAAAAAACTTTTCAGTCAAAATTTATCCTCTTCTTTGTCCCTCTTTAGCTTGATACATTTCCATAGAATAGAAGCATCACATCTATACCACATTTAGGAAATAAATAGAGCAGGATAGAAGGATTTATCTATCAATAAGAAATATAAAATCTGTTCTAATAGTTCTGGTAAATAAAAGATGCTTGATTACATCATGCTCCACTCCTTCGGCTAAATATCCTATATTATATATTATATCTTTAAATGAAAAAATAGCAAATTACCTTACCCTGAGTGCCTTTGACCAGAAAAATCATATGATCACTGCTCTAAACTAAGCCTTTCTACTATCTTATCTAACGCAAGTTTATATAAACCATCCATATAAACTTTTATCTCATTCTCAAGTGATAACCCTTTTAATAATACGCATTTAAGGAATTTTTCACTATAGCTGAAACTCTTGTTACACTCTTTCAGCTTCGAATAAAAATCCTTGACTGTATTTTTACCTTGAACTAATGACATAATACGAAAATTGAAAAGAGTCTTTCTTTTGGACCATTCAAGATTTACCTCACTTTACCATATATTATTTATACTGTAACACTTTTTTAGATCCTAATTTGAAAGATCCTTTATAATAAATGGTATTAATTCTGGTAGAAGTTATTCTAGTAAATTATTTTTTGCATTCTTTATATGGTTAGAAAATATTTCAATCAAAAAAATAAAGTTAGCTATAGCACAGAGTAATAACTGGGTTGAGTTAGCTCAGTCCATTTCAAACTACCAATTGCTTAACCTTCTTTAGTCACGCCTTCCTTCATTGCTTATGAGGGATAGCCTTTTTTCTCTTACCTGACACCAATGGGACCCCTCAATTATCTCATCTGAATTAGAATCCTCAGAAGACTCAGATAAAGCCTTACCTTTTTTACCAATCAGCAAGAGAACTATTTCTTGTATTAAGTTAACCAGAATCTCCCTATATACACATTCGTCAAGATCTTCTAATTTAGTCTTTAAGGATTTTATATCTTTTTCTAATCTTTTTACCCTTCTTTCTAAAGTATTATACTGGAAATGATAATTTTTTAATTGTTTCTTTAATGCCCTATTTTCACCGGAAAGCGCAGTATACCTTTTACATTTTTCTCATTTAGTTTAAATATATGCGCTAATTTTTTTGTATATCTAATAACTTTCTGCTCATTATGTATACTATCAGATGAATAATTTTGATTATTGGTTAATTCTATTCTGGCTATTTTTGCGATATTTTATATATGACATATCTTTAAACGAACGAAAAAATAAAATTAATAAATGATATCAGACTGATAAATCAGTCATCCCGATCTAATCCCTCTAGAATCCTCTCTAACCCTTATATGTAATTAGTTTAGTTCCTTAGAAACTGTTTTCATCAAAAATCTTGATTGCCTCTTCCTGATCATAAGGTTGTCCCCTTAACCAATAATTTACTATTGTGTAATTTTATGCTGAAGAGGCATGGTTGTCTGGTGAATGTCAAAGGACTTGACTGGCAATGGTCATAGCCCTGATAAATTCTTCACACTATTTGATACGACTACAAATACTACCCCTAATTTGCGCAAATAGCTAAGGAGGAGTAGTTTACCAGTTTCAGGAAGAAATCTATTTTTTTTCAAAAATGTATTAAACCATTTAATCTCTCGTACTCCTGGATCCCTCAACTGTCCAGAAGAAATTGCATCCTGAATCCAAGTAAGGAGAAGTTTAACCCGCTCTTCATCTCTTTCTAACGATCTAAATACTTGAGGATTATCCTGTTATTCTCAGTTTTTTAAATATCCAGTTACACTTCCATTAGAAATGTGCAAGTCTTTAATTTTAGTAGAACAGATGCAGAGCATTATCATTACATCTGCTAGAGCTTGTAAATTAGATGCATTGGATACATCATACTCATCTAATCTTTCTTTAACTGATTCTAACGAGAAGTAGTCTGGAAAATTAATCTCTTCATTTTCATGTTGAACCCTACATTTCTTTTGAATCTTATTAGATACGCAGGTTGTTTTGTCATCTAATATAGTAGAGATTATTTTTTCTGGGGTATTAAGTTATCATAACTCTCTTCAGAGCCTACTAAGATAGAATGTGGTGGTAATAGGGTTAGAGAACGTTACAGTTAAAGCCTTGGCTATCACTTTTACTTCTTTTTCATCAAGATTATCTCAGACAATACGCTGGGCTATACTTTTGATAGTTTCTCCATCTGGAATAATGTTAGATACTTAGCATATATTAACTTCCCCTGCTTTATCCCTTCCTTTTTTAAGGGTACTCAACTTCTACTTTGACAAATTCTCTGATTGGGGACTAATACAAACACCTGCTCTCTGCTAAAATTATACCCTTTTTAGAAGCGCTAATGGCCCTTGTCTCTTTTCAGTTTATCTGTCAAAAGCTCAAGTAATTCTAAGTGTGCTGGCTAAGTTCTTCATTACTCATATCTTTATTGAGTTTGTGTTCTGTAATATACTTTGTTACAATCGTAGACATGATTATGTGAATATAGCTTGTGAAATAACTACTAGATTATGTATAACCCTTAGGTTATTCTATATCTGAAAAAGTTCAATTCGAAAAAAATATTCTGACAATTCTCTATATGCGGACCCACTCATGATCAGTAAAAAATAATAATAATTTGGATTTATATATCGCCTAATTGTAAAGAAAAAAAAAGACCCTCTTATTCAAACATCTCACTTATAAACTAGCTTCTTATTTACTCTTTACCAAAGTATATTATTCTCCTAAAGTATACTTACATTTTTTTGCCATTCCTCATCGGTATTAAGCCATGAGGATGTGAGTCCTTTATTTCTAAGTTCATATCAGATAATCTCTTCTTCTATTAATTTTTCTTGTACTGTCATTTCTATATATTTTTTGGAGTCTTCTCTACTCTCTTTACATAATCACATATTTATGCATCCATTTCTATTTTATATCAGAATGCGGTAGAATTGAGTCTGTCTTTTTCAGTAATGGTTACGAAGACATCTGGATTCTCTTCAAGTTCGACTACCCTTTTTCTAAGACGATTTTCATGCTATTGTTACACCTAAAAATGATATGCAAAATGATTTTTTTTTAAGTGCGGCAGTCTTGCATGATCTTTATTAATATTTATGAAATTACAAAAAGAAAAAACAAAATAAAACAGAAAATACAAAAATATCTATAAACTAATCTAGAGACCTAAACTACTTTATCAATACTAACCTTGCACTTTACCGAACTAAACTATATATTAGATAAGAGAAAAAATTAATCTAAACTAACGTACAGATATCGAACGTCTGGAAGGGAAGGCGTGGTTACTGCCGTACCAAAAATTTGACTAGTGAGAACTAAAGATAGCGCTGCAACTAGTTGCAACCATGTGATGCTTATTTATCACCGGTTGCAACTAGTTGCAACTCAATTTTTATTAATATTACAACTAGTTGCAACTCTGTGATGCTTATTTGTTACCGGTTGCAACCAGTTGCAACCAGTTGCAGTGCCATCTTTAGTAAGAACCAAAAGCAAGAGCTGTAAAGAAAGAAGGAAAGTGGTTAATCAAAGTTTGTGTAGATTGTGGGAGTTCAGAGGAGACCCAAATAGCAGTGAAATCATCTTTGATATTGTGCAAAGTTTTCTAAAGTTGTAATGATGCGTATCATGTCAACCATATGTGAAGAAAATATCATCAAATAAGGATGATAATAAACCTTGGGTGAGTTGTTTATTGTTGGTGACAGAAGTAATCGAGGAGAAAAATGATGAAGGGATGATTCCTTTTATAAAATCCATAAAACATAAGTTGTTATTGAACGAGTTGCAATACCATATTGAAGATTGATCAATAGTATCAATTAGAGTATCATTATTAGGTCTGTTGAGCTCTTTGAGGTGAGACAAAAAAGACTGTTTGTGCTTTTGTATTAAGTCAGTAAAAGAAGTTGGGTTTTGAGAACAAGATCAAATGTGATCAAAATCTTCAGTTGCAGTATTACATCGGAAGTAGGTATTAGTGGTATAAATTTGGGGATATTGTGCATTCATTATTGTAAAAGTAGAGAGTAATTATAATAATAATTTGATTTTAAATTGCTTCCGTTTGCACGCATTGAATGATGTCACTCTAGCATTTTCTGAATCATTAAGAATATAAAAGAGAGTTTATCAATTGATGTGAAAATTGTGATATTTTGCAAATTGGAGAAGAGACAAAAGTATTCCAGCCCAAGATGCTTGTTGCATGTGCTTGATAAATAAACGTGATGGTGTAATGATTTGCATGTTATTATAGCTCATAAAGTATTTGGGACTGAAGTGGTTGCTGTTAATACTCAAAGGAGTACCAGAGAGTTGTTTAGTTAAAGCATCTACTTTATTGTTAAATTTATCTGATTCATGAGCTTTGACTTTAGTCAGCGACAACGTAATATTGTTGGATGTAATAAATTGTATCAAGATCATCCAAATATGGAAATAAGAAATTTTGAAAGCAAGATTTAGAGAGGGAGATTCCTCACATATGGTGATGATTTTGTGATATGAGACAATTGCAGCTTGTGAATCTGTGCAGATTTCAATGTTGGAGTTCAGTAGAGCGGTGTATGTTACAGCAAGAATAGTAACTATTTCTGCTAATGTTGAAGAAAGAGAGTGTGAAACAAATGTTGCATTAAAAGAAAGCAAAGGCTAATTGTAATCACGCTATTCCCATCTGGCATGCAGGAGATCCTAGAGATGTAAGAGAACCATCTATATAAAATTGAAGTAAAGTAGCGTCAGTAAATTGTGATTTAAGATGGTCTAATTTATTAATAGATGTTTGATCAAAGGGGATAACGTCTAAACTAAGTAAAGGTTTGGTTAGATATTGATAGAGAGATGTCAATATGAACAAAGCGACTTCACGAAGCATTAGGTGAGAAAGACTACACCTCCATCCCTCATGGGGTTTGTGAAAAGTTTTAAATATAGAACAAAATGATTTGGGTAGTTTGATGGCACAAAAGTAATGGCGTTGTTATTGTTTGTAAGGTATAAAAGCTGAATGGTCGAAAAGGTTACATCTATTACAAGGAGCAATGGGTGTTTGAAGGCAATCAGTTTGGTTTGGCAAATAATGTTGTGCGTGAATAATAGTATCTTCGACTTTAACTACTTTGCCTAGTATGAATGTCATATACTGGTTAGACCAAATTGTGACGAAAGTTAGGTTGGTTGCTGAAGCATTGAAGTTTGGCGGTCGAGTTGGCGTTTTGACGATAGGTGTGTGAGGAGGACATTTATTGAGTAGGAGTCTATTCAAATCACTGGAAAGAAGCTGTGACTCCAAATGTTTGAACCATTTAGCACTATGAAATACTGAATCATAAACCATATTCAAGTCAAAGGCTGTGAACAAATGAGTTCCATCCATAGTAGTGAGTTGATCAATATATAAGATCGATAGTGATCACAGTTTCGTTATATTTTACTGATATATTTTTTGGGAGAGGGAATGTAGTATTGGGAGTGACCCACCATCTATATGTTTTAGATTGTAATCTATATCTATACATTGTTAGAATTTAAGTCCAATCTGCTTGGCAGCTGACAGAAATCCTGATCACTAGTCTTTAAAGGGCTTTGTGTCTGTGTAAGGCCAGTCAGTTAATGGGATGAGGGTAGCCATTCCAACAATTGTAATTGCAAAATTCGTAATCGCGAGGTTGAACTAAGGAGAGAAATATCATTAACCATTTTTAATAAATCAGATGACTTGGCTTGAATCTGTTTGTCATACAAGTGTGCTAAATTATAACCAAAGGTTGAGTGGAGAACAGAAGAAGATATAAATCTTGAAAGTCCTAGCTTCTTTTTGAAGAAATTTCTGAAGAAGGCCATCAGAGTGTCACAAGATGAACGAGATATGAATGTCAGTTTCGTCTTGTATAAAAGACGAGGGATAATGACTGTGTTGAATATTGCAATCATTTGTTTAGCAGTCAGCCTTTTCTTGCTAAGCACGTTCTTTATTTTAGTAAATTCATCTCGAATTTGTTTGAAAATGAACTGTCTGTTATTAAACAGAGACACCCAGACTTCTAAATATCTAGTGGATTCCTTGTGGTATAGTAGTGGGAGCCAAATATTTTTCTCATTGAAGTTGAAATTGACGGGAGAGGGATCTTTGTTATTAATCATAAGGACAGATTTATCCCAGTTGACCTGAATGCTGTTAAGTGTATAGAAGGAGTCTGCTATACTCATGATATTTAGGAGATCAGATCTGGAATTTGCAAGCCAGAGTGTGTCGTCCATATATGTCAATGCTGGGATGTGATTTGAAAAACTTTGTATTTTGCGTTTTGTAATATCAGTGTTCCAGTGAACGTGTTGCGTGTAACTGTATTATGAGTTTTGTATGAAACAAAGAAGTGGGTCGTAATATATGCACCATAAGATAGGTGATATAATTTCGCCTTGGTCGATGCCTGAAAGAACTAAATAGGTGTCAGAGTTATCGTGCGCGGTAAACACTTGATTAAGACGAGGAAGGAAGATCAAGATCAAGAATTTTATAAATGCTTCTGGAATTTGGAGTCGTCTAAGGACTCTGATCAACATGGATGCTTTTGACATGTCTTGAAATAGAATCCAAAGGTTGTTGTGATGGAATAAGGCATCGTAATTGATATTATCAAATATGTGAATAGGTTCAAAAGTACTCCTACAAGGTAGACCAGCGAAGTTGTTTTCTTTGAGAATGTTGTTAGTAGACAAAACGTTTAATAAACGACCATTGATTAATTTTGTGAGGGCTTTTCGTGAGCATTCGAGTAGTGTGATTGGTCGTGTGTTTGTTAAATTATATTCCCAGGGTTTTGGCTTGGGTATTAGATATACAAAAGCTAGATTCCATCTACTGGATGCTAGATTAAGTGACAGGCATCTGCAGATTATGATCCAGAAACATTTTGCTGCAAAGAGTCTGAGATGTTTTAACATCTCATTGGAAATCTTAGATGGTCCAGAAGCTTTTCCATTAGGGAGTACCCTAATGATATTGTGCCATTCTTCATCTGAAGGGGGTTGCATAATGGAGCGGTATATATCAGGGTCAATTGAATTGTCCAGTGTATAGACTTGTTCCCATACCTTAGGGAGAGATGAGTTGGAATATTGTGAGCTAACTACTTTTTAAAAATGTCTCGCCATTTCCTTTTGAACCTCTTTTGGATCTTAAGAAGTTCTTTGTCAGGGTTATTGTTGTTTATATATTTTTCTAATGTAATAGTAGTGCAGGGACGATTTAATAATGAGTCAAATATAGCTTTTTGGTCATCCGCAAAGTTATTACAACGTCTTTCAATGGCTTTATTGATGGTTTTAGCTTTGAGTTCCGCTTCGTTTAGCTTTGTTGCGGTGGTTAGAACTTTACAAAGATCAATTAGTAAAGGACAGATCATTTTGATCTTCTGTATCGAGGGGTGATTAGTATCAGGAATTGTTATATTATATTCTGTCGAGAAGGCTTGTATTTCCCTGTACCAGGTGTTCCATTTGGTGTTGATAATGTTATCCTTGATGCATTTGTTACATGACTTGCAAAGTTTTTGAACCATCTTGATACGTTTATAAATTGATTTAAGAATACGTGGTCTAAGATCTCGATGGTGGTATGACGTATATTTATTGGAAATTATTTTGATAGTAACGTCTATAATTGATTTTTGTAGAAGGTCCCAATAGTAGTTCAAATGGTGTACAGTGTGTATGCTGTCTAACGACATATTATGAAGTCTGATGTTTTTGCATCAATGATTAACTGAGGTCCTAAAGGCAGACCAGTCACCTTCAGACATCTCGTTATATCGAAATTCTAGCTTTTAATTGCAACGTATTGGGTGAAGGAAGGATTAATAGATGTTAATGAAATGTTAGCATATACGATAGCATGATCTGATAAATCTTTGTTGACTTTTTCTACTGTTTGGTCAATAAAGTCAGAGATTAGTGAAGAGTGCATAAAAATGTGATCTATCATAGAACGTCTGGTATTAGTTTCAAAAGTGATGATATCATTATTTTGTTTTTGATTTTTGATGAGGTCTAAATTGTTAGTCATGTGGAGATTATCTAACGAGGTGAAGAAATCATTTGAGTGTGAGGGATTGAAGGTTTGTGATGGATCTGCGTTAAAGTCTCCTAGGATAATTGTAAAGAAATCTTTTTGATGTGCCTCATTTATTAGATCTAGAGCTTTTTTGTAGGTTTTGATTCGTAAATTTTTATCTGAATTGAAAATATAAACGTTAATAATACAGAATTTTTGTTTATTTTAAACTGAAAATCTATCAAATATATGTGATGGAAGAAGGAAGAGTAATGAAAAGCGTGATCAGCTAGGTATTTTTTGATGAGAAAGCTAACTCCAAATCCCATACTTTGTGCAGAGGGGTCAGAGTGAAAAAAGGGAACAAAATTATTTGAACAAATGGGCTTTAGGAAGAGTATATGAGATGAATTGTTGAAATTTGTTTCTTATAAGGCGATAACGTCTAAATTGTAAAGAGAGTATAAATTAAAAAGGATTTGTTGTTTGTATGGTAGCGTAAAAGAACGAGTATTATAGGTAGCGATGTATGGTAAGGGCGCCGTTTTTTTATTCAGTGGTTGTAATATCATAATTATTTAAAGAATAGTTCTGGGGTGGGAACCTCTATGCCATCTTCTAAAGTGATGACTACACCGGGTATGTTGAGTTGAGGAATTGGAATGATATGTGCTGGATATGTGTCATCTAGAACCATATGTTGGATATTAGATACTGCTTTGAGAGCGATATTGAGTTTTTCAATTGTGTCTTTATTGTGTTTGCGTAGTTCTTCAGTTTCAGCATGCAGGATTACGATATGTTTTTCTTGTTCTGTGACTTTGGATTCTGATGTATCAACTTCTGGTTCGTAGGCAGTGTCTGTATCCATGGCGCTTTCAGCTTTAGCTGTTTCGTTAAGTGTAGCAGCTTTCTTTGGTGTAATTGTGAAGATGTTCAGATGCCTTTTTACTTCGTCGAGACGGTGCATTGAAAAAGCAAGGTCGTTGTGGATAGTTGCAAGGGTTGCAGTGATTGCGTCCAATTGATTTAATATTTTTTGTGTGTCCGTTAATTCGTGTGTAGGTGTTTTAGGTAATCGGTAGAGTGTGTCAGTTTCGTCCATTTGTTTTGACCACGATTTCTTCGCGTGAATCGATTCATCAAGCGAGGATTTATTCTTTGATAGTTTAGGTTCGTTGGATCGTGTCAAAGGAGTTTTAACCAGAGGTTTGGCATCCTTGATTCTATTAGAAAATGAGCGTGGATTTTTTGAATCGAACATTATCTCTTGATCATGAATGAAAGTGACCTTTGGACGAGACGCAGGTGCGGAGTAATTTTTAAACTGCGTAGGCTTGTAGCATTGGTATAGATTTTGTGTCTGTCTATCTTTGGGAGTTAGACGTTTCCGTCTACAATTTCATGAGTCATACCTGAGAATGGAACAATGTGTATACAAATTAGTATCCAGTGTGGTCCAGATAAGTTTCCTGTTGTCAAACTCAATAGGATCTCTGTTTTAGCTGCTTCGAGATCATTTTTGTTATTAAAATGCATAAATGCGTATTGGAGATTTCTGTAATTTGATCGCGTTTTGGGAATCACCCACGTGATCACGTTAACTGCTTTACCAATAGGTTTTAATTCTCTATCAGTGGTGTCTTTAGGGAGATTTGTTAATTTCAAAGTATATTGGGAGCGAGCCTTGATATTATCATTTGTGAGGGAGCAGACGTGTACTCTGACCATATTCTTCAAAAAGAATAGGCCGGTGTGAAAATTAAAAAAGGACAAGTCTGTCTTGGCTGCATACGAAATAGTCACTTGTTGCCAAAGATTTTTCATCATCATTGTACATCTGACGATCGTACTGAATCTGGCGAATATAAATCAGATGATCTGTTCTGATGTTGAGATCGGAATCTCTGAGACCTTGATCGACAAGTTTAGGTCAAATTTGAATGGGGCAGGTGTAACGAAAAGTATAAACGTGATAGTTTCCATATTGGGAATTTTTGCAGCCATAGTACGGTTGGCGTCATCTTGAGTTGTAAAGCCTAAACAGACTATTTTCAACGTTTTGTTTGTTGGGTCAGGTTTAATAAATGCACCAATAAATGATGGGTAAGCTGCGCCATTGAAGAGCTCGCAGGCTTTGTTGGTCTTTTCTCTAAAGGATTTGCTGGGAAGAAAAGTTTCTGTGACGCAGTAAATGTAGAAGGTAGTCGCGTCTCGAACTCTTTTGAATGTAATGTGTTTCTGCCAGCATTTTTATCATTTAATAAATTTTCTGAGGCATTAAATGCTTGGTCTTCATCTATATTATTATCAGTCCTGTAGGCCGATGTTTCACTATCCTTTGGTTTGAGAATAGAGGAAGGACCAGTAGTAGTTGTATTTGGCGTGGTGTTTTCTTTGGGGAACCAAATAGTTGTATCGTTTGTAATATTTATATTTTTGTTATTGGCTTTTATTTCTGCGAGTACTACTTCTGCTTGTTCGTCTACGCTCATATCACCAGCTGAGAAGATGTTGGTAGTGGTTATGACATTTGACGGTCCAGCTAGAGTTTCTAGTATTTAATGAGACCTGCCAGTCATGGTTTTCTTCTGGGGAGACTTGTCATTGTTTTTTGTTGGAGAGTCTGGGTGAGTACGCAAGTTGTGGGTATTATTTTGTGAAAATTTTTGATTTTTTTCTTTTTCCATTTTTTTGGTTTTTGGAGAGAGAGAGGAAAAGTTTTTTTTTTTTGATATGCAAAAATGATTATTTTTTTTTTTTTACTTATTAATGTGCGGTGGCTAGAGGTTAATAAAAGACATATCCTAATTAGGACAAGTGTTATCCCACGTTAAGAAACCTCTTTAGGTCTTCCGATCCTATTGAAGGGGTACGGCAACCCGCCTAGAAGCACATCCCCGTACAGTTGCCACCTAGTATAAACCACTTTGCAACAAGTTATTCCCATGCCACAAAGCTCATTAGACCTTATTAGGTACCATCACCTTTGGATAGAGGGCTCACTTCAACCATAGAGCTTGTTAGGCCCTATTTTTACCAATTTAATTTATAGGGTTTTACCCTATTGATGACTACCGAGACTGTGAGATCAGGTCCTTTATATAGATGGTGATTTTGTACTCATAACGTCAAATTCACCTGGGAATCGAACCCAGCCTCTAACCCTAGTAATGATTTGATTTGGAAGGTACTGCAGCGTGCAATGCAGTCTATTATTACCTTAGGCATTACGTCCCTTGTGGTGAATCCAAATCTACTAATTACTGGTTAATCACTTCCTTACTTATGTAAGGACCCTAAATTTGAAGACGTGAGACAGTATCCATTACAGACCTGTCAGCGAAGGCCAAGTTTCTGTTGATCCCTGGCTTTATTTGCATCCACATGTTCTTCAAACCCAGTATTTAGGCATGATTAACATCAATCGACAGATCGATCGACCAGTATCTAACGTTTATTAGTCTAAACGCTCACGTGTTCAGTTACATATGAAATTCTTATGAAAATCATCTAGTTTTATGCCTCGACTGAGGTCTGAACCTGTGACTATCACAATGTAACCTACAACATTGGAAAATTGGAAGGACATGATTTAATGTGCTGAAAATCACTGTAAAATTCAGTGCAATAAACATTGTAATGATCATTGCCATTTAGATGCTAAACAGCGTACAAAAAATTCAACGCATTGTTAATTACATTAAACAATCTGCTGAAATTTTTTAATATTCAATGCAATGTTTATTGCACAAAACAACGCATTGAATTATCCAAATATTGTTCAATGTCTTGTAATTTATTTAATATATTTATTAATTAATACTACTAATACTATTTATTATTTTTTACAGTTTCTTTATCTTTTTTTAAATAATAATGTACCAATCGCATCTAGTAATATTATAATCCTCTATAACTAATAATTAAAAAACAAATACATTTATAAAATATTCATTAGATTTTCTAAATCGTGGTACAATATGAACTGGCTTAATAATGGAATCAACTTCTATAACGGTAAACATGGAAATCATTTTCATAAGCGGACAATCATATTTAGTTAATCTATCTACATTATTATATTTAAAGTCATACCATCGAACTAGTGCTAAATATTGTTCCTCACGACCAGGAATTTTCAAACTAAATAACATTAAAATCTTTTTTTTTATTGTAAAAAAAATCATAATATTAGTAATTTTTAATGTATAAATAATTAAAAAAAATAAATAATTTTGATTTACCTTAGCAAAGTATGCACCATTAATTGTATTATAATCTTTAATTTCAGCTTCATTCATATTGACTGCAATATTACTAAAAGCTGGTGTACCATAATGATTGCTTTTAGCTCGTATAATATCAGTTCTTCTAATCATTGCATTTGTATACCATTTAATAAGAGTTGCTTCAACATCTTCATCAGTAATATTTTCAACAAGATTAAAATATTCATTTAATGAGTCAATTAACACATTAAATGCTTCTTCAGCTTCTGATGCTAAATTATTATATGTTGCTTTATATGAATTAATAAACTCATTAAAGGTAATTAATGTAAAGCTGCCTTCGATACTGCCTAATGTTGAAATTCTATGTTTATCATGTTTACTAATAGGTGATGATGTAATTCTACGAAGATAATTGAGGATGCTATCACGTTGCACCTAATAAATATATAATATTTAATTAAAATGAATAATAAATATAATTTTAAAAAAGTTATCAGTGTAATATTATAAAAATAAATATATTACCATATTAATTATTTGTGAAGTTGCATTTTTATGATTGCTCATTCTATATGGATCTTGACACAAAATTTATGTAACAGTTCATAAGTTTCTGTTGTAAAACCATTTATTACACCATATTCCCATATAGTATCGATAATATGATAACAACAATTGTGAAACTTTGAATATTTCATTTCGCTATCTACAATTGGTGCAAATAAAGCAATAAATTTCTCTGCCCAATTTGTTATCATTTTCTAAAAATTAAATTATTAATTATTAATTAAATTATTACAATTATTAAATAAAAAAATAATAAGTTGTAGAATTTACCTGAAATTTATCAAGTTCGGAATCTGTAAAAGTATCCTTTCGGCTAAAAATATACATTCTATTCCAGTATACAAATAAATCAACAAGATTTTTATCCTTTTATTTTGCTTGATTTTGAGTTAAATTTTGCTTATATTTCATAATAATTAAGTCATCAATAACAAAAACTAACTGTTTTATCATACTCCGAAATTCTGCTGCAGTAAATTGTGCAATGTTACCAAGACCATGTCTAAAAGGCTTAATGTCAGAAAATTGTGGAATTTTTGCCAAACGTTGATTAAACTCATTAATACCCTCTTGTTCACAATATAACCGAATATAGTCTTAAGCAAAATTAACTTGATAATTAAATAAACCCAGATCATAATGATGTATGCGATCTGATACTGTAGCACTATAAATATTCAGTTCACTATAAAATTAATAAAATTAATTAAATTAATTAGAATTAAATATAAAAATATAAAAATAATTTATTAATATTTACCGAAACTTTCAAAAGATATTTTGAGTTGAATGAATTGAATATTCATGACAAAGATCATGACTCAAAACATGTTGCATATTATTAGGTGTTCGTAATGTTATTTCAGATTTAGTTAAGTTAGGATTATTTAATTCATCAATAGTTATAGTGCAAATATGACAAGAACATTTGCATCGGGAAGAATTGTAAGTTAATGTTAATGCTGCATCCTTAGGTAGATCACCAATAAATTCAGAAAGAAATAGAAAAACCAAATTATTTGATTATCAGTAATAATATTTAAGCCGTTATTTTCTAATTTTTCATATATTGGTTATATCATAACATTAAAGCAATGTTGATACAATTTTCTCTTAACAGACGCAAAACTTTTTTTATTATTCTTATAATTGTGTAATGGCTTTAATTTTGGTAAAAATCCCAATAAAGCTTTGGTATCACATTTATTTCTACACCAGTTTGGAATATTTCCTAATGATAAATAAACAGGATGTTCAGAGCTTTTCCCAAGATGGTCTAATGTAGTAGCATCAGAATATATAATAATTGATAGAACTTTTTTAATCCTGTTTCAATTGATTCTTGAGCACGTTTCCACCATAATCCAGTCCATTATTCTCCATATATACATTCATATTATCTATCATCATTGGTAATATATTCTGCAGAAAATTCCCATTGACAATATTTTAATATATCAGCATTAGATAAAAGTTCTTTAATAGCATCAAAGACTGGTCGATGGTAAAGATAATATTCCTCACTCTCATATTCTAGAATCTTTGTTCTAAGGTATAATAAATGTTTGACATACATAGAATTAACAAACTCACGTCCTTGTGTTGTATTTTTTGGTAAGATTACATCTTCTCGAAGATGATGCTTATTGAACCACTTCAAAACAGCATTTTCAGCTGAATCAGATAAATGATATTTTGATATAAGTTCTATAAATTCAGTATAAGCAGCATCTGAAAAGGATGGAAAGTTCTGATTTGAAGTAGATCTTGTATCTATCAAAGTTATTTGCTCAATTCGCTCAGGAATATATAAGGTATAATTAGGAATGTGATCAAAATCAACATTTTCAATTTCAGCATCAGATATGGATTCTATAGATTCTAACAAATTATTTACATTATTGTCATTACTATCTGAATCAGCATCACTGTCTTCTAGAATTATTTCCTTTATTAAAATAAAAAATAACATAATTAATTAATATTTATTATTTTAAATAATTGTACCATATAACAGAATCAAAAATTAATCACACTACCATCTCTTCAATTTGTTCAAGTTCTTGAATATTATCATCATTTTCATTATTGTTATACATAATTGTATCATCTTTAGAATGTTTAATTATGTTTTCCAAATTCTCATCATGAGATGTTTCTGAAATATTATTTAAAATTTTCCAATATGCTTGACCTTTATGTGATTTTGTATGCTCACGAAGAGCAGTTCGTCGAGAGAAAGTTTTATCATATTGATGATATGGACAAGCAAACATTATTGTTAAATATTACTAAAAAATAAAAAATTTTGTTTAATATAAATAATAAGATCAGTTTTTATAAATTGAAACGTTTATAATT